GGTCTGGGATCAACACAGCTCCCCTACCCACTAAAGTAAGAGCATGGGATTCTGTAGGAGATGCAGCTCTCTCCTCCCTGCTCACCAGATGTCAGCAGTAAGAGCTCCAAGCCCTCAAGGACTTTGAAGGTTACAGTCTCACAGAAAAGAATCAAGATTTTGGGTATTTTTTAAAGCAGCAAACAGTTCCTGTACATTTGAAAGAGATGCATGAGAAACCTCAACCAGAAATTTGGTTTAAAGTGCTGGACAATTTCATTTTCTTCCACATAGCCTGACTTCTGGGAAATTCTCTCCCTTTTTTCAGTGATAAAGTATACAAAAAGAAAGTCACAGGACATTTAATTCCTTAAATTTCCTTAGGAAAAGGTTTCATTTTTCTCCATAGAAAACAATTATTCCAGATTTTGGCAAAAAAAAACTCCCAACAAGCAGAACTCCTACAGATGCCACAAATTTGTGAGGCAGAGAATCAATTTCATCTTGTTACTAGCTACAAAAATTACCTTGCAAACACTTAGTGAGGACTTACTGGGGACCAGAAAATGTAACACAATTACTCTGTGGTGACATTTTTACATGGGTGTGATTATTTAAGCAAGAGGCTTGGGATTTAGAAATATTTGGGAAAAAAAAAAAACAACTCAGACATGGACATTTTAAGTATTTTAGTATTTAATACTAAAATCTTTGGTTACTAACATTTTTACATTGTCTTACCTCTGTGCTAGATCTAAGGGCTTATTAAAAGAGTATTTTTAGATAGAAACCAGGAATTTAATATAATTTTTAGTAGACTGCTAGCAAAATTATAATCACTTAAAAATAAACAAAGTGAACATCCTCCCATTCTATGGCAATTCATTAATTGACCTGCAAAGGCTTACATTAGAAAAATACTGTATAGGATTTTACAGTGTCTTAAGGAAAAATGCTCACATTATTAAAGATGCTCACTACCAATTTACAGAACTACTGTTACAGTATTAAATTTGTTTTGCAAATTATTTTATAGCTGCTGAGCATAAACAGTATTTCATCTCTCAATTGTAACAAAAATTAAGATAACCACTAAGACACTGCTGAAAGAGGCATTACATTGTCAAAAACAAGAGGACATCATTAAAATAAACTAGTTCTTTCTTTATTAATCTCAATTTCCCAGCCTGAGAAAACCAACTAAAAGAAAACAGGAGCCAGAAAAAACCCCACTCTTTTGATTGATCCACCCTTCTCTACAGGACTTATGAAAGTACTTGAGACTCCACTACACTTCTCCACTTCTTAGAGATGGCAACATCTGAAGCACCTGTATTTAGCACCAGTGCCAAAAACTGAGTACTGTGTTACTCACTTTCACGAGGTACATGGTATTTTTACTTACATCTCTGTATCCATGAGGAATAGTGCCTGAAATATCAGCAAAAGGAATCACACATCCAGCTGGACAATACTTACTGAAAGAGAACAAAATATCAAGTCAGGACTTGCATGCAAATCTCAACACTCTTACTGTTATAAAAAAAGTTATGGTTTTGATTTACAATACTCTGCTATTCAGGTATCACTATGTAATGATATCTCCTAATTGAAGACCTATCAAACCAGACCGAAAATACTCACAAGTCCACAACAGGAGAAGAGACATTTAAAAATGTTTTGAAATAAGTCTCAACTGAAAGTACAGTTCCAGTCTCAATATGATGAGCTAATAATGCCAGCATTTTATAATATGAATACTACATGGCTCCTGTAAATTCAAAGTCAGATAAGTAACAATACTAATAATTTTATTTTATGAAAAAGAGAGCTGCATATCTATTTGTTTTGCACCCTTAAATAAAGCATCTGAAAATATTGCTATTTTTAACAGCTTTTGGCAATGCTTTGACCATAAAAAACTAGCCAAATTACCACTAGCTCTTAAAAAGCAAGAGGCAAGACACCAACACCACTGGATCAAACCTGTTCATGTTCTAGGGCCATTTCATACTGCACACATGAAAATTATTACATCTTCAAGAGCTAAAAGTAAAGTGGAGTAAACTCATCAACATTTTCACCACAGCTCAGCAACAGCTAAAGTGATGCTGTAGGTTCCATGAAAGCAGGGGGATTCAGAGACTTTGTCACATGTTGACTAAGGCCAGAACCTACAACTAGAGCCCTGTTTTGGAACCTGGGAAAATGAAGGAGAAATGCAAAGGTTGCACTTTAAAACGTCTTAGTTTGCCACAGTTTAAGTTCTCCAAAAAGCAAGCTTAGATACTTCATAATAGTCTGCAGCTTTAAACATTGGCCTTGCTTTAGATGGAAATGGGGAAGGAGTCAAAAGGGAAATGACACATTTTCCCCTTCAGAATGTACAGCAATCTGTGTCTCCACAGAACCTCAATAATGAGCACCAAACTGTGAAATGGGTTTGCAATTTCTAACACGTGTCATCATTTAGTACTCCTTAGGTAACTGTAATACAAATTTCAGTAATTAAGTTGTGTACCTGCTATAATATATTTGTAAAAGCAATAGTCTTTCTATGAAAATGAGATATTGACTCCTATGTGTTAGTGCAAATTAACGAGGTTCTACTGTATACTGCATGTAAGGAACAAAAATGGGAGAGACAGGAGGAGGAAGGATGAGTGCAAATCTCAAAATTCTTCAGCTCTAACCCTAATTAGTTTGTGTCTCAAGTTCTCTGGATGGCAAATTTTCAAGCTACGTCAGAATATGTAACAAAGCAAAGTAGAAAGTTCATTTAAGAGACTGGGAGGGAAACAGGTAAAAAACAATCTTACTTGAATTCCGGTTCGGAAAAGTGACTTGCATTGTCTAAACAGGTAATTAGGTCTGGAAAGAAAAAAGGTTAGGTCAAAAGGATGATAAAGACAACAAGCTTGAATATGCTTTTTAAAGTGCACAAATACATACATTTGAGACTCTGAGGCTTAACAAAAAGTCTCAGAATGAAAAAACCACATTACTACTAAATTTTCTTGCAAGAGATTTTGTATTACAGTAGAACCTTGCTAATTTGTCTGAGTAACTGAGAAATCTACTGAGAATATGACACAACACTACAAAAATTCATTTTCGGTGCAGCTTAATTTTAATTTATAACTATATTTCAGAGATAAATCAGAGACAGAAACATATGCTCTTTTCACAAAATTAAATTAATAAGCTAAAGAGGCCTGTGCTTTTATCATTTAATGGTTCTGCAGTGCTGAACACAAGCACCACAGAGAACAAATGTTAGAATGCTGCATTACTGGCATCCATGACTGATACCACAAATCTCATGTTTGTGTTTGCTGTGTATCAACACATACAGTCCAGAATACAGAGAGGAATGCATCAAAAATCCTACAAAATTAAAAACTGAAACTCTTTATCCTTTCAGAATAACTTCCAGATAGGGTTTTTGCCTTCTGCGGCAGTTGCTGCTGCTCCTTCATTTCCTTGCAGACCACGTATATCACTCACCTTTACAATGAGTGGGAGGAGATGCAAAATAAAATACAGCAACCTCTTTCAGAGGCTTAAAAGAACAAAACCAGGGGGAAAAAACTAAGAAAAACACAAAAAACTAGTCAGCAGACTATGTTATTAAAGAGCTGAGGAAGTACAGGAGCCTGCTACTGAAATAAAAATTTCCACAAGGTTAGTCTGTAAAATATATAGAGTTTGATAGGAAAACTTGTTAGCTATCTGCCACCTTGACTATTGCCTGAAAAAAATTAATTTTGTCCTGAATCTGAAGCAATTCTTTCATTTATAACAGACAACTGACATTTTTAGTCTGCTGTTCAAGGAAAGCTTTGAACTTTGAAATTTCTTTAGAACTACAGCAACTTTCAGGTAGGCAGTCAAATTTCCTACACGGAAGTATCATGAAAAGTGTACTAAATTTTTAGAAGTTAATTTGTAAGAATATGTGAGTAAATTAATTGGTTCAATTGAATTGGAAAAATTACAAAATAATTATAAATACCTGACTTATCTGTGGTTGAATAAGCTGCAAGAAATCCACGTCCAGATGTGTGAATTCCACTCATGAACTGTACTGTGACTTCATTACTTTTTGAAGTGATTAAACCATCCATTTGAAAGCCAAACCCACAGTATTTTCCTGTGGAGAGAAGGAGGAGAACAAATATTGATCCAAAATAACACATGTAATAAGCATTTTATTCGATTTCCAGCCTCTTATTTCATCTGCAGTGTAAGCTCACGTTAGTTCTGGTGTATACTCAAAAGCAAATACACGAGAATGACACTAAACAATGTGCTTAGTGACCAGTTAAAGCAAATGGCAGACTGCGAGTTCCACATTTGTTTTGTCACTGTCCAAGGTCTTGAATTCCCCAATACCTGCAGATAAATGTGACCTTATCCCATTCACCTCTAGCCATGCATAACCCCCACAGTCGGAGCTTCAGAGAACATGAGGAATCTCACAAGGGAAAGGATCAAGTTAGGACAATGAGAAGCATCTACAGAAGCAAATGGGAAAAAAGCTGTCCTTTTCACAAAGTTACTGGAGCACTTCTTCCTCATAGACTCTTCCATGGTTTCTGTCACATACTTTCCCTAATTCTGGACAGCAACAGGCACAGCTCACTGCATTTCAGCAGTATCATATATATATCATGTATCATCATACCATAGGTAAGCACCACTAAGATACATTACCAATTAGTTCTCTTTCTATTTTATCACACCTAAAAATTCTAACAAAGGTTCTGTATCTGAGTGCTTCTCTTGCCATACAAAATGAACAAAAATAACACAATTTCAACTGCTGGAGTCCACAGATATTGGCAATATTTGCCCTATGAAATTCTAGAATTGATACCAAGTCACATTAATGGATGAATTGCTGTTAAACAGGCCCCAGTCAATATGGAATTCTCCAGTCCTATTAATTAGAAGCTTTAGTAAAGATACTGACCAGTTAATTAACTTGCTTAGAAAAAAATAATCTTTTTTTTCTACAGGCTACCATGATCATTCAATATTGTAGAAACCATCTATAACCCTATTTAAGATTCTGCAGTGGATAACCAAAGAGAATAATCACCAGCAGGAAATGACACTGCCTCTGTTTCAGCTCATCATTCCACTTGCTTTCCTCATAATGAGTATGTTATCATACTCAGAAATAACAGAAAAAGAGGTAAGACTCCTTTCTCAAATAAAGGCAAATTACCATACTAATGTAAAGGAAATGGAGTAACGTGTTCCTGCAGGAATAGTTCTTAACAAATATAATACAAAATAAATATAACATGTATGTCAATTTCTTTTGAAAAGTGAACTGCACTCCCAAACACTATCAAAATAATTTAAAAAATTATAAAAGTTAAAATACAAATTCCTATCATTATTCAGAGCTTTCTAGATGTTGCTTATTCAGGTTTTTTTAAAAACAAAGCAAGGGTATCTTCTAATAAGAAACCAGAAAAGCTTTTTTTTTTTAAGTTTTTTTCAGCCACTGGATCTTGTTACATGAGTGACCATCATGAGACTCCTCTCAAAACAGCATTTACCCCCTTCTTCAGGCAAATGCATAGTGCAAGCCATTTAAATGCAGCTTGGATAAACTCTCCAGTGCTGCACTTTATGGTTCCCAGCAAGGCATACTTTTGAGACTAAATAATTATAAATAATTTTTCTAACTCTTCCCTGATTTTTGTCACTCTTTTAAAAAGCAAGCACTAGGAAGTGAAAAAGCATGACTGCAGTTACACTTCTGTCAGCTGTGTGTGCAGAAGATGTAATATTGCTATTTTGTCTGTAGTTATGCATTGAAGGATCTTGAGTGCCTTTGTACAGCTACAATACACCAGGAGAGGGAACTCCCGTGTCTTAAATAAGTACATCTGATTGCAAATGCACAGTGATTTGACTGTATTGAAATCTTATAAACTCCTCTAGATCTTACACTAGAGACAAGCCTAACACTGAGCATCTGAATCTTCTTTAGATTTCTTCATATATACTCAAGAGGCTTGGAATAAGCACTAGCCCTTAAAAGCTTCATTAGAAACCCTCTCTGTTTATCAATGAACTCACTAACAATTTATTTTTTTAATCTAACCTGTCAACTTTTAAGTAATTTTGGGTAAAAAAAAAAGTATGATTGAATTTCAGATTTTATGTAAAACAAGTTATGTAAAACAATGTTAGACCATGTCAGTATCTTGAATGGATAAACTTAGGATAAGTCCAGATTTCTCCCATGAAAATTCAAGTCATTGTTTAATCTCTCCAGTGTCTGTTGCTTCAAACACAAAAAAAAACCCCAAAGCCTGCCTCATCTGTATTTGCCACTGTTAACATCTCTGTTTGTCCTGTGATTTAATTTATTAAGAGCAGAAAAACACACACATTTCCCCAACATACTGTGCTACTACACTAGCAGGCCACAGCTGAAAAGCCAGGGAAACAAATAAAGCAGGAATTTACTCGAACCCATTAAGTCCCTTGTAAAAGTGAGTAATAGACTTATCAGAACTTGACGTTCCTTGCCATTTAAGGTATTCAATGTTTCCTATTTTAGACCAAGTCTGGCTCAACAGCTCCAAGCACATACTTATTTTCACACACACTTACCTAGGTAACAGTTGGAAAAGAGGGTTAATAAACCTAACACTCACTGACCTCTTTAGAAAAAGACTCAATTTAGTGGGATCAGCATTTGAATTGCACAAAAACAGTCTCAGTGAAGTAAATATTTTTCTGTCTCCAAATTAAAGCTTTAGGAAAGAAAACAAAGTTCATCTGCATAACAGCTAATTTTAGAAAAAGAAGAATGACAGTTCATTTTGAATTTTATGCGAAGTAACCGTAAGAGTCTAAACACCCTACATATACCTTGATGTAGATGATAAAATCACACTGCTATTTGAAAAAAAACTCACTGACTTCTGGTCGCGAAATTCTCCTGAAGACAACAAAAACTAAGAACATTATCAGAGGATGGAACATACCTTTTGAAGCCTGTCATCCTTTAACACCACCAAGATGAACAGCTCAAATCAGAGTGAATTCATATAAAAAGAAAGGCATTTCAGGTAAGAGATAGATATATATATATTTGCACCTTTTTTTTTTTTTTTTTTAATGAAGATGCTTCTAGTTTTACAGTTCCCTCTTCAGTGCTTACAAGAACTTTGCAAGCTACTAGGAAATGTCAGAGGCAAAAAATCCACATTACAGTGGAGATTCCTTTGAGAATCTCAAGAACTAAAGATTATAACAGGATCTGTGGTGCATTTATGATGCAGCTGCTGTTAAAAAGCAACGAAAGTACCAACAGTACACCTGAGTTCTATACAAGACAGCAGTTCTCAAGCAGTGACAATTGAAACTCCTACCTATTTCTGTCCTGTTGGGGCCAATGCCATTGTGAACTCTCAGGTAACTGGAATGACAGGAATCGGAGTCATCAATATCAAAATCACCGAACTTGAGCTGAAGTCGCTGCCCAGGCTTCACACGGATCTCCCACTCACACACGGTGCTGTTGGGAGAGGTCCGGGGGTAGTTTATGGAGGCCAGGGTCCCGCTCTCGGGGCCCAGCACAGTGTGTCCACAGCCATCACCTGGGAAAGAGCAGAGAGAAATCAGCTACCACGCTCATCCTCAGAGCCCCACATCACACCCCTCCAGCACTGCCAGCTCCAAGGTAACTCATGCAGATGACACAGTAATGGTGACAAATACCACTCAACTAACAAACTGCTCCGCTTAGCACTAGAGGTGGCCAGAGAGCTGCCACAACTTCCTCAGCAAGATGGAAAGTGGTCCATAATGACTTAAAAAACAGAATGTACAAGAAGTGTCCCTGCTATTTCATATTTCCGTAACACCTCAGTACAGAAGGAAGTGGGTGCTGAAAAGGACAGAGAAACCTGACAATAAAACCAGGGCAGATTGGTTTTACTAAGTTACTCTACTCACAACACAATGAAAAACAAGTACACAGCCATTGGACAGCAAGTAAAATACAGCATATTAAATACAGCTCTGACCACTACCAAACTGGAAATACATTGTTTTCTACTGCTACTATTTTAATTCATATAATCAATTTTTCGGAATTTGCTGTGACTCCAACCCGAAGCCTTCTACCTAACTTGTGAGTATTAAACAGTAATAACAGTACTAAAACTAATTTGTTTGACAAATGGAAAATAATAGCACAAATTGTGTATTGTCAATATTGAATTATAAAAAGCAAACTGATAAATTTGATTACTCAACAGCTAGACATGCACTTCACCCAGTATGTAGCACAAAAAGTGAAAGAATTTCTGTGCTGGTTTAGAAATGTGAATGTTCTTAGAGTAACATGCACAATGATCACCATGATTCTTATTGACAAAAATTTGTTTTGACAGCTAAAAGTGTTTAATAATATGTGTAATTTCTCTACTAAATACAAAAAGGTAAGCTGAGCTTTAGGTAGAAAAACTGTACACATACTTAAGAAATTTAACTAAATTTCAAAATTCTTAAATGTATTACATGTGAGACTGAGTGGAAAAGTAAGTCCAATGCACTGAAGTGATGTGGAAAAAACAAGCCCCCGTGATCAAGTGAACTCGGTCTGATTCATCTGTTTACAAACACAACTAATTTTTGCTAACAAAAACTATTGTCCTTATAATTTGAGCACATTGAAAGATAGCTGCATGTTATAAAAGCTAAATTACTACTAGTACACAGAATCATAAATGGATGCAGATGCAAACTGCAGCTGTTTATCGTGCTAGCAGTCTGGAATGAAAATGATACATCCTTGGAAAAGTTAACTGGAATATCTGCTTAGTAAAATCAAAACTTGTATTTGCGAAGCTGTTCTTCAGCCATGTTTTCATTAATGCAATTTGCTTTAAAACACATTGTTCTATCCCATGGCAAATATTTCCATTTGGATGACAGCTGATCAATTACTCTTCTAAGTCAGAGTTTTTCTAACACAAGACACCATTGTTCAACATTACAAAGAGGTAACCTAAACTGCATGTTTTATATAGCACTATAATCCTGGTTTCTTTCAAAAGGCATGTTATAAACCTAAGAAAAGTGAAAGATTTATTATGCAGAGCCTGTATGGCTTTGGTTTATGAGCTACTAAGTGTTCAAATGTCAAATTTCTGATCAGCCTTAATATGCTAACACTTAACAATAAAGGATTCCTTTTCTAGTAAAATGTATTCTCACAAGCAATGTATACTCACATTTATATACATTTTCACAATGTATACTCACACACATTACAAAATGCATGGAATTTATTAGATTAACAACAACAACAAAAACAACAAATATATTCATGGTGATACATGGGGTTAGCATTTCAAGACTCTTTATATTGCAGATATAAAAATAATTATCAACACAAGCAGCAATCAGTTCTAGGTTATGTCCTACACAAAAGCAATGAGCCACTAACCAGTTCTGTGCTTTTCCTGTCCCATGATGGGGTAAGCAACTGCTTATTCATTCACAGATTGAAAGTACTCTGCAAATACACTGACACCGTGGCCTTTTGAATATGAAATCATAGTAGCATTCCCCTGTATGGGCAGATAGACTGTTCTGAGTGCATTTTAAGGAAAATAAAAATCCTTGCATGAACTATAATGCTCAAAAGTTACCTAGTTCTCATTTCAATAGGAATGCAGTCACCACAAGAATACTATTTCTTAAAATCAAGAATACCAATAATGCCCATGAATCTGTATCTTTGATTCTTCCCCACCTTCTTGCATCTTAAGCCTATGCTGCTGGAAATCAAAGACAAAGGAAAGCCTGTGTCTCCTCATTGACCCAAAATGTATTTAAGCTGTAAGCTTCTCCAGTTAAAACTAGAAAAGATCATGCCTAACATTCATAAGACATATCATTTAAAAATGACATTACTTCTTGTAGTTTGAAACAATGTCATGTTTCCCATGGCTAGAGAGAAAAACTTTCTCATTTGCTTCACACAATTTAATGGAAAATCAATCTCAAATCTCCCTTTTGTTGTAGGCTTTCTTAAAAACATGAGAGGAAAAATATTCCTCTATCCATATTAAAGAACTTGCCATCAAAGCATACTAGAAAGGAAAGGAAAGGAAAAACAGCTGTGCCAAACTGCAGCATCTTACTATGAAGTTGATTTTTAAAAGTAGCTTATTCTGAATGGACATTTTAGATCTTTTTATTGTATTTCACTTAGTGATAACAAAAACGCCAGACACTGCATGCCTGAAGACTCTGAAGATTATCATGGCATATACAGTCTGCCATGGGCAGCAGCATCACTCATGAGCTATTTGGAAAATTTTAAAAATCACAATTCCAGTGAAACTTGTAGAACCATGAACCCATATCTTGCTGTATCGGTACTATAAAAGGGCAGTTCTTGAGCCTCTCCATGTAACGTGGTGCTTCATCATTTCTGCCACACTTCTTTAAACATCACTGATGAACTCCAGAGACACATGCACACATCTAGCATCCAAGAAGCAACCTGCAATACTCAGCAATTTCCCCAAGAAAAAGTACAATTCTTTTCACTACAGCAGCAGATATAGGACAGTAGTCACTTTGTTCATCCTCAAGTCATTAAGTGCCACAGAATCTTTTGCTTCTTTTGCTTCTGTTAACCTGTGAGAATGGATTATCTAAGAACACACAGAAGACATCAATTCCCTAATCAATTATTCCTGGATGGGCTTGTTATAAATGAAAATTGATCCAGCCAAATTAAAAATAAAAAATTTTATTTTGCAATCAGATTCTATCTAGCCAGCCACAAGGAAAGAACAGCGCCGAGCCCGGGGTCGGTGCTGGATGTGCAACAGAGAAGTCAGCCTCAGGGGAGGTTTCCTCTATGCCCACACCATCCTCCTGATACGAGGTTTTTATAGGGAAAGTTCCGCCCGAGGCCAGGGTTTGGGCAATCAGTCCTTTCTTCCCATTCAGAGTCCCAAACATTTATGAAATTTCTTTTCTTGGCGTTGGGGTGGAACAATCCCGTGTCGGTGTTGATGAATCCCCGATGCAGTTCCGGGGCTCCAGCACTCCCACGTAGCAGCATGGAGGAGTTCCATGCTATCCATATCTCGGGTCGGGGACGCCATGAGCAGCGCCTGGGCGTCCCGTGTGGCCCCAGATACGCCCATCTCTGGGCCAGCCACAGCCATTTGCTTGCAAATGAGATTTCAACATAGACTGAGTTTTACATGTGTGGGGGCAGCTTCTAATACAGACGTGTGTTTTCCAAAAAATACTAAATATTACATACACCATATTATAATTGTCGTGAATTACATTCACTACACATAACAGGCTGACAGCCTCTCTTGTCAGTACACAGCTGAACAAGTCTGCTGCTTTCTTCCAGACTTCTCTCTCACACCACAGGCCTCCTACACGTGCAGGATAGATAAAGCCCTTTGTAGAAGCACAAGATCACTGGTGGGCACACTTCACACCTGACACGAGGAGGGGCTGCAGATGTCCATCCAATCTCACATGTCCTGGGGACCAAGTTCACAGCAAAGAGGAAAAGTTCAGCTCTTCACCAGAAGTTGTGTTAGAAACAGGAGCACCTCTTAAGCAGCTGGCAGAGGAAGGCAGAGTGCTGCCATCAGGAGAAGGATCCACCTCCTCTGAATGCAGCCTGGATGAACCCTGCTGGCAGAGTTCATATGACCCCCGGGCCATGGCACACTGATGTCTGATGCAATCATGCAGATGGTTGAAAATTTCTTAGAGCCGAGTTCTTTACATCAACAAAATACAGGACTTGGACCAACACAAACATACCAAATCCATGGGATTTTGATACTTGAAGAAAATGTGGGATTTAATAAAATGAAAAAATACTGAGCATGCAGGAGTGGGTGCTAGGTTATTAATACCCACAAAAAAATATTAACTATACTTTGTAGCTGTGGAAGTCAATTAATCAGACTTTTTCCCCCTGAAAAACAGTTGCTGTTAGACTGCTAAACTTGTTCTTACTATCAAAACATGTTTAAAATAATTTTTTAGACCAGTGAATACTTTCCCA